GTCTTAGGCAAGCTGGGCTTCTTGTGGGAACTGGCACATTTTTTTAACCTGTTCTGCATGCAACAGGGCCTGCCAGGCAGCTGGACCTAGGTGGATAGAGCTAATGCTGCCTTTATGCTGGGCCAGGATGTTGCCTGTAGCAATGCAGGACACTCATGATAAGTGGATGGAGCTGGGCTGCTTGCCAGTTAGCGCAGCCAGGCTGCAGCAGGGTTGCAGCAGGGTTACCAAGGGCCAGCATCTTTGGGGGGCTGGGCTCCTCTGATAAGCTGCGCAGGTGGGAGGAGAGGATGGCATTACACTTGGGGAATGAACATGCCAGTGGCCTGAGTTGAGGGAATGAAGCCTGTGATCTGAAGAGCAGCTGGCTCGCCCATTGGGAAGAGTCTGCCCTGGCCACCCCTCTCTGCCCCCAGGCTTTGCCCAGGAGTACTGTGGAAGCTGGTGGGTGGCACATCTGGGGACCGAGCTGGAGGGACAGCCCTGAGCACTGGTGACCTGGGAGATAGCATGTGTGCCATCTCCTCCAGGATAGTCCACATAGGGAACATATGGTGATGTCCTCGGGTATGCATGAGGCAGAGAGGGCTCAGATGTGGGCTCAAGATGGGGTTGGGGGCTCCTCCCCAAGAAGGAGCCAACGTAAGCCAGTGGTGCCACAAGCAGCACATGGACCATCCTGCATGGGGCAAGATTTGAGGAGCTCAGGTGGTGCAATGGAGTCTGAAGAAGGGCTGCTGGAGTGGTTGTATATGCAACCCTTCCTGCATGTCCTGGAGCCTGCTAGCACCAGAGAGAAGCTCATGGCTGCTGGACCCAGTGGTGTTACAACAGAAACAGCCCCACAGTTGGTTTGTGAGGTCCAGGAATAGCCTTAACCTATCTGGATTGAGCTACAAAGAGACAAACACAACAAGAAAGCTCTTACTCTCCTTCCCCTGCCCTACCACCCATGCTTCAGAGCTCCCTTGGATAAGAGGGCTAGGAAAGAGCCAAATGGGACCTGCCCGTGGATCCATCTTGTCATCCTGCTCTGGCTGCTGCTGGCCGATGTGCATAGGGCTGTACAGGAATATGACTACACTGTCTGGGCAGGCAGGATGAGGCCTTGCACAGTGCGACTGGGGAGCCGTGTTCGGCCCTGCAGTGTACTCATGGCCAGGGAAGCACTGGGAAAGTAAGATGCTCCTTGCATAGAAGCAGGGACATTGCTGAGGCAGTAGGCCAGGAGCTGAGCCTAGCCTGCTGCCTCTTCTCAAACCCCAAAACAAACTCCAGGTCCTTCTTCACACTGCTGGTGGCTAGTGCTGCACAAACCTGAAGCAAAGGTGTGTGGTGAGAAGTGCCGAGAGAGAGCACTGCAGAGCGCGCATATCAGGTTTGAGCCTGTGCCCTGTAGTAGGGTTTGCAGAGTTGTCTACTGGCTCCAGCGGGAAGCAGAGCCAGCCAAGTGGTCCCCATCTGGGCTGCTGCACTACCAAGAGCACATTCCTGGTGGCAGGGATCTGCAGGCTGGTCACCTACAGGAAAGACCTCCTGAGATGGAGAGGTCACCAGGCTTGATTTCCAGAGATGCCCAGCAATGGACAATTCACTACACACTTAGGGAATGGCAGCCTGGATGTTTCCTTCCCTCTGTGCCCTGAAGGGTATGTTTACCTGTCCCCAAATACCCCAGGCTTCCAGAGGAGATCAACCTTTTTATGACTTTGCTGGTCTCCTGACTCAGACAAGGCAAAGGGAGCGGGCTGCACAAATGCAGGCGGAGAAGTTGCTTGTTCTTGTAACTGGAGCATGTTTCAATTAGGAATAATCCTACAGAGAAATCCAAGCACAAACCATTCCACAGGAGGTTTCTACCAGAGCCTGCTGTCCCCGAAGGAGAGTGGTCATATTGCCACAGCTGTCTGAGTCACTGGCTCCAGACCCTGGAGTTCTCTGTGCAGCAGCCCAGCACTCAGGGCGTGTGGTTTTACTAGGCAGCCAGCAATCTCCAAAAGACGCTGATGCACTGTGGCTTTTGCACAAAATGTGGCTTTAGAGCTGTAAATGGGAAGCCTGATTTCCTGTCCACCGTCTGATGGCACATTAAAGGATGAGGGAGGGGCTGATGTGCAGTGCCACAGACATCTGTCCTACTGAAGGACCTAGGCGGGGGCTGTGGCTGGGCTGCGGCGCTCCTCCAGCCGGGCATGGGGGCCACCAGCTCTGCTACATGCCAATGTGCAGTAGAATGCTTACAGTGGCTTTCAATGGCAAGCACTATCGGGGGCTATTTTCTCACAATATCAAATACGTTAAGTGGGTAGAGAACAGGGAGGCCCAGTGTAACACTGTGCGGAACTATCCCTGGAGCCCTTCAGCTCTGGCATGGAGCTGGTGTCCTCAGAGTGCGTTACCCGCTAGGGGGAAGCCTGCGACGGGCTTTGACTCCCACAGCGCCTCGGGGAGTGGAGCTAGGTCCCTCCTCACAGGCCTGTGAGTGCAGTGTGGGCTGCTGCTTGGACCAGGAGCCAGGAGAATATTCAAACACAGAGTCCATGGGTCTGCTCCCTGCAGCATGGCTGAACAGCTATGCATTTCTGAGACACGGATTTGGCACTCAGCCCTGCCTGAGGTGCTTGTCTGCCACTGCACGTTCATTTTATCCCTGGTTGTTCGGTTTATCCCTGCTGCCCTGTGCTGGGGATGGAGCCAAGGTGCTCACTGGAGCAGGGATCACCCAGTAGGCCAGGACCAGGAGGCCTGAGCTCCTGAGGGGGCTGGGTCATAGGCTGGCCCATCTCCTCAGGGCCTGCCCTCCCAGCCTGGCCCGACAGTCTCAGCAAAGCTTGTCTCACGTGTGGGCACACTTGAGCACTTTGGTTTGCAGCAAGAGAGACAGTCATAGGAATAATTGGACACAGAGATTCAGAGCGAAGGCTGTGCCAGACAGGAAGTGGGAAAGTGGAGGCTTTCTTCAAAAACAATGGCTCATCTTTTTAAAAAGGGCTTGATGTCTGTAATGACTTCCCAGAATTGCTCTCCTCTAGCTTTTCCTCAGACCCTCAGTAAGTAGCACCAGCCCCCTGCACCCTGTAGAAACAGCTCTGCCACCAGCCCTTCGTCCCCATCCTCTGCAGTTCCTGTACTCACTGCCTTCCTGCTTTCCCAGTCACTGTGTTGGAGGATCCTCCTGCTCCTTCCTCCAAGGATGCACTCACCTGCTCATCTGTCCGTAGTGGCTTCACAGGGACTTCTTCCCTCCTCTTTCTGCCCTCTTTCCTGTGGGGAGCACTGTCCTACAAGCCTCAGTTCAGTGGATTTACTTTCATCTTTTGTCTAGCCTCTGCCTCTCCTTGTGTCCGCATGAACACTCATCTCCTTGCTCCTGACACGGCCAAGCCAAACCCTTCCTTGCTCCTGCCTTCTCTCCCAAATCCTAGCAAGTGTGCCCTGGGAGGGTCTCAGCTTTGCACAGACCTCCAGTCGTGTGATTTGGGTGTTGAGCACATCGCAGGAAAAAGCCTTTTCTCCATATTTTGTCTGCATCTGCTTCCAAGCACTAACATGGAGCCAGCAGCTTGAGATCTTGTGCAAGAAAGGGTTCCTGGGCATGTAGCAAATTTGGAAACATTAGTTTTGGACCAAGTGAAGACTCCTTCCCAGCAAACTGATTCAGGAATGAAACCTGACAGACAGCTGAAAATGGGAAATGACCAAATCAAACACTGGATGAGTTTGCTCCATGCCACAGAAATGCAAGAAGCCAAGCAAGGGGAGTGTGTAGCCAGGTGGGAGAGGGAGTCTCAGAGCTGGCTCATCAGGCTCATCCAGATTTATTCAGATTTAACAAACATCATGTAGTAAATCTGCTCCCCCCACTATGGCCTCAGGAGCTAAGCATCTGAATGGGAATTTCACCCCTGAGCTGTAGCTAAGATAAGATCTGGATTCAGGTGGTCCCACTCACTATGTCTAAGTATGACTGGAAGACAGCACAAAGTCTCCATGGTAGAGATCTCCTGTCTCTGTTGATGATTTGTGCCACCTGAAATTTCCACACTTCCTTCCTGACCTGCTGGGAACTCAGCTGGAGGCTACAGGCCAGCCCTGACTGGTGCGGGAGGTGAAAAGGAAGCTGATGGAGTATGCAGAGCAAGAACTCCCTCACTGCAGAGATTGTCTGGGCTGCCAAACATCAAGCCTGGAAAAGCTGGATTTGACCTTTAGGAAGGAGCAACATGTCATCAGAAGCTTGTCAGAAAACATGGTCATGCTTTGATTTTCTGAGTTGAGCAACCATCAGAACTTGGATGTGATGCCTTCTACACATATGCATCCTCACTTCCCTCCAGACACTTGCTTCCGAGGGAGGAGTCGAGGACGCATGGCCAGGATAAAATTCATGTTAGCTGTGACTCAGCAGCCCAAAGTGGTGCTCCAGGCCAAGGAGCAACTTGTACCTCTGCTCCCTACAGAGCAGAAGAGTTGTCAGAAGGTCTGTTTTCACAGAATCACAGAATCACAGAATCGTTTAGGTTGGAAGGGACTTCTGGAGATCAGCTAGTCCAACCTCCCTGCTCAAGCAGGGACCTCTAGAGCATATTGCACAGGATCACATCCAGACGGGTTTTGAATATCTCCAGGGAAGGAGACTCCACTACCCCTCTGGGCAACCTGTTCCAATGCTCTGTCACCCTCACAGTGAAGAAGTTTTTCCTCAGGTTCAGATGGAACTTCCTGTGGTTCAGTTTGTGCCACACGTTGATGAGATCGCCTCTCAATCTTCTCTTCTCCAGGCTGAACAGGCCCAGCTCTTGCAGTCTTTCTTCATAGGAGAGGTGCTCCAGCCCTCTAATCATCTTAATCATTTTAACACTGAGTGATAGGTTTATACAACCCTAGACAAGCTGGGGACCCTATTTGCACTATGGGTAAGCCTACAGCCTGTACAGCGCTGCATGGAGAGCCCAAGCTTGCTCTGAGCAAGAAACGGGAGCCAGTTCCCTTGCATTTTCCTAGAGTGGGTCTGCTTTCCCATCCAGCTTACTCAGATTCTCTTGGATCACCGCATGGCGCTTCATACCTGGGAGGAAATGGGGGGGTGTGAGAAAAGTAGGTGACCCTGCCTAGGCATTATGCACAACAGCTGAGGGCTGCAAGGGATGCAGCAGGACTCAAGGGATGCAGCAGGCTCTGCAGCCATTCCCTTTCAGCTCCTTGGCCTGGGGCTGCCTGTTTGCTAGCTGTGCCTCTCTCTTTAGGCGGCCTGACATCTGGAAATAGCTGGGGAGGGGGTGGTCAGCCTAACTTGTGGGTCCTATCATCTGGGCCCAGCAGTTGCCATAGTAGCAGGGGACAGCTTTAGGCCACATCCTGCTCTGTCCTCCTCTTCTCCCTTATGTGGGTAGTGCAAGCTGCCCTGCCCTAAGGGTATTTTCAAGGTTTTCAAAAATTAAAGGGGGACAAATCCTCCTGGTGTGTCCCAGTGGTTTCTCAATAATAAGCCCCATGGATCCCATCTTGGGGGCAGGGTCATCAGGCTGTTGTCTCAGCATTCCCTCGGCACTCCACTGTGCTGGAGCTCGGAGCAGCCAGCTGGAAGTGGGGGCCACTGCTGGTCCTCACCTGTGGACAAGAAGCCTATTCAGTGCTGCTGCCAGGGCTCTGTCGCCCTTCTGTCCTATGCAGCATGTTTGTGCTCTGCAGAGAGAGTGTGGCCAGCCGTGAGCAGCAGCCGAGGCTGATCATGTGGCTCCTAATGAAATCCAGACCCTGGCAGAGTGATGACATAGCGCTGTGATTTGTGCTCCCATACAGACTAAACAAGCAGAGGCACTTTATAACGTGCAGTGCTGCAGCCAGGCCAGCGCAGACACAGGGATAAATCAGGTAGCAGCAGTGCAGATGCCTCTGGCTGCCTTTGTTCTTTCTAATTGTTCGTATCCTGCTTCAAGGGCTTGGACACAAACATACTTGTGCTTTTTCTGAGGCAGAATAGGAGGGGGTTCCAAAGTAGTAGTGAACAGAACTTCGAGAAACTATATTCAGGCACTTGGAGCCATGCAGAGATGGCTCTGGCTCTCCATGGTTTGCACTAAAAATGCATTTTCAGCCCAGAAACACCATAGCTGCCATGCTTTGTCCATTTGCAATTTACAGTTCATTGTGCCAAGGAAGTAACTGGTCACCTAGATCACATGGAAATACTTCCAGTGCTCCGTTGGGTTAGTGAAATTTTTAAAGCTGAGCCAAAGCGGGTTTGGTAGGTGGGCTGTCTGCCTGTGCTCTATGTGGGGGGTGTACACACATGCCCAGATCTTGCTGAGCGGCTATGCTCCAGCTACCCCAGTGTTGCCCCTGGGCGCCCCAGGAGGGTATGTGACTGCTCAGGGCACAGTACCAATCCCACAGGATGCCACATTCACAAATACCCTGTCCTTTGGCTGCCACAGCAGCAGGCTGGAGGCTCGGAGTGCTGCAGAGGGCACCCTCTAGACCCCCTCTAGCCAAGCACATGTCCCAGACTCAAAGCACTTCCCTCAGCTCCGCCCCAACGGCACTAATATGTTACACTAAAGCAGAGGGGTGAATGGATGGATCAAATGCATGTGACCAACAGGCTGCCCTAGGTTGCCCCGTGAGCCAGCCAGCCTTTGTCCAGCACTAGGTGGCTGTCAGCAAGGATGGAAGCTTAGACTGCTGCAAGGTCTCCCTTGCATAGCGTGGGGCTGCTTGGGAACTCAGGAGGGCACAGGAACCTGCTGGCTTCATGGTGGTGGGACCCCTGTGCTCTCCCAGTGTCTGTGGCTACCAGTCCCTGCGGAGCTCCCAGTGAGCTAAACAACGCTCTGTTTGTTGGACGAAAAGCCAGAAAGACTTAGTCCATTGGCACAGAGTCAGGAAGTGCTTAGGGGAGCGTCAGCTGGATATTTCTACCGGCATGGCTGGCAATGGCCAGGTTTGCACAGAAAAGCAGCCTGGGTGCTGCAGGTTTGGGGCGGACGCTGCCCCATCCTGCAAATGGCCAGCCCCAGCGGATAGCAGGGCAGCCCGGCATACGCTCTAGCCACCCTGGCCTGCTTACACTCACCTTCAGATCCCATATTTTAGTCCCAAGAGCAGTGTGAGGTGGAAAAATGACCCCTTCAGTTGTCAGCTGGAGTGAGGAGTTAACAGAACAAGGATCTGAGAGTTAAGGAAAGAAGCATGGCAGACAATATTCTCCTGCTGAGGAGGGCGATAGATATTTCTTCTCAAGCTGGACCTCCCCTCTTAGTTTCAGATTTCAAGGTTTTGAATTGCACATTTTCTCCTTTTCTCTACCAAGTGCCTCAAAAAGATTCTTCACTAGTGTTTGGGTTTGTTTTCACTTTTCCTACCCTGGAGCTCTGAAAAAACCTCCTCTAACTTCAGAAAGCTGAGGAGCAGGAAAAGGGAAAATGGGAAACTTGAACCCTCCCTGTGCCTCCGGTTTGAATGCATTTTGTGGAGAAGGACTGAAGGAACAAAATCAACCTCTCAGCAGTTCTCCATGTAGGAAAAATGCAGAACTGGGTGTAAACAGCCAGAAAAAGGCTCTGCCATCTCCCAGGAGAACACCGTACATGCTAGTTAAAGGTCTTCATGCAGCTCTGGGGCTCAGGGCACCAAGTCCCAGAACCACAGCCCATCCTTATGGGGACAGCAGGAACCCTGAGGAGCTTCTCCTACCCCTGAGCACCACACACACTTTGCTTCTTTCCTCTATGGAAGATGGGGCTGCTGATGATGTGGGGTGACCTTGAGGGACCACATTGTGTCTACTTGTGGTGGCACGGGCTCCTTCGTGCTTGGGGCTGGCAGCACAGCTGCTCCCTGCTCATGAGGAGGTGACCTGGCAGGCGCTGGTGGCAGCACCCCAGTGTTTCTGTAGAGCAAAGCATGGAAACACATGCACAAGGCAAAGGCCTGCAGAAGGGTTTCACTGTGGCTATTTATTTAGACTCAGCTACAAGTGGCATCCTCCAGGGACCTTGCTGAGGTCACCAATTGCTATGGTAATGAATATGAAATGAAATTGATGACGTTGCTGTGGCAAATCCTCTTTGGGATGACTCCCCACAAGGTGATCTTCTGCCCCTGGTTGTGGGGAGTCACTTACAAGCTGAATATTGTGCATGCACGGAGGACACTTATGTGGCTGGGGGTCATTTCTGAGCCCTTAGGCTCTAGACATCCCAGGAGCTGAGTGTCCTTGGGGAAGGCAGCCAGGCAGCTACCCTGCAGCCCCTGCTGGGCTTTAGCCTCCTGAAGCTCAGGCAGGCTCTCCCCATGCCGTGTGCTTTCCTCCAGCCACTGCTTCTTCTTCTGGCATTGCAGAATGGCTGGACAGACTCTCCAAGGGCATAGAAGTGGCCTGCGGGCCTGCCCTGTCTCCCGTGGCTGATTCTGATTTGGAAGAAGCCAATGGATGGAAGCACACATTTCTCTGGCTCATTCCCTCTGAAATTGTGTGTCCAAATTTGCTCGCTTGAGCCATTACATCCATTTTGGGGGGTAAAGGAGGAAAGGAAGAGAGGGTCATATCCCCATGGGTAGCATGTATCCATGTGAAGTATTAGGACACCTGCATTGCTACATAAGATGTACGCTGCTTATATATATATATATCTATATTGATTCACTCTGGTTTGTGAAATACCACTCTCCGATTTGCTGGAGTTCCCTGAACCCCTAGCAATCTTCATGTTTCCCTCACAATATTAAATCACAGAATCACAGAATGGTTGAGGTTGGAAGGGACCTCTGGAGATCAGCTAGTCCAACCTCCCTGCTCCAGCAGGGTCACCTAGAGCACTTTGCCCAGGATCGCGTCCAGGCGGGTTTTGAATAGCTCCAGGGAAGGAGACTCCACTACCTCTCTGGGCAACCTCTTCCAGTGCTCCGTCACCCTCACAGGGAAGAAGTTCTCCTCATGTTCAGATGGAACTTCCTGTGGTTCAGTTTGTGCCCGTTGCCTCTTGTCCTGTCGCTGGGCACCACGGAGAAGGGTCTGGCCCCATCCTCTTGACACCCTCCCTTCACATACTTGTACACATTGATGAGATCCCCTCTCAGTCTTCCCTTCTCCAGGCTGAACAGGCCCAGCTCTCGCAGTCTTTCCTCATAGGAAAGATGCTCCAACCCCTTAATCATTTCTTAGTAGGCCTCTGCTGGACTCTCTCCAGTAGTGACATGTCTCTCTTGTATTGGGGAGCCCAGAATTGGATGCAGTACCCCAGGTGAGGCCTCCCCAGGGCTGAGGAGAGGGGCAGGGTCACCTCCCTCCACCTGCTGGCAACACTCTGCCTAAGGCACCCCAGCATACCATTGGCCTTCTTGGCCACAAGGGCACACTGCTGGCTCGTGGTCAACTTGTTGTCCACCAGGAC